GTTCGTTTGTATGCACCTGTCGCTTTGTTAGCACGCGTCATGGTGAGAGTTCCAATATACAGCAATGCCAAGATTTGACATCTACAACATGCCATTCATATTCATGGACTTGGACCCATGTTAACTGAGGGCACCCCGAATGAGAAAGACCACAGCCTGAACATTGCATTGTGGTAATTTAGGTCATTTTCAATCAGGTCATCCTAGGTCATAGAAGAGAAGACATCTAGAATGTCATTTTGCAGGGAAGCTGATCTGGCGTGGCTTGAACATGTTGGTGAAGCAGCAATCTTTGGTAAAAACACTGTACAGCGCATTGTGAGGATACCCTGCTGGAATTGCATTTTGTGGTGAGCACTGTTCCCTATGTGTTTGTTTTTGTTGTTTGTGTTCTCTTCTGGTGGAAAGTCGTTTTATGGTCCTAGCCTCTTCTAGCTTTGTGCTGTTGCAGGTCACATGGACCGTCATGTCATAAACAAGAACATTTTCCAGCTTAGTCCACCATGGTTAGGGTCTGTCCTATTACCTGTAACAGTCAGTAAAATTCAGTAAACAATATAATTATTACGATTCTTGAGCAAGGCGTTTACTAACCATCATCATCCACTGTTACGGGTATTAGGATAGACCCAAACCATAGTTGCCTCACTGTGTTTTTCTTTTGCGGCGAACCACGCCGGTCACCGCACTTTAACCGTTTTCCGTGGCGGAGGCATTTCATAGAGAGCCAAGGTTGGACTCATGCCATTCTATTTTAGAGGTCTTTGATCTCTATAGGATGCCTTGCAAAACCTCCAGCACTTTGCGCGCGCAGCATCAATCACCTAATGATTTTTTTTGTGTGCACTCTGGCTCACTAACACCAACTGCAACTGGATGTGGAAAACTGTCCGTTTGTGGAGGAACATCTGAACTTTTGACCGATTTTTCTGACGCGTGGCGGGGATTCTTGACCTAGTTTCAGCCGAGGTATGTTGCATTATACACCTCAGTTTCGCAATCCCTTTGCGGAAGGCACATGCAACTTCTCCGGATTTCTCCAAGGGTCTACTGACCATCCACTGAAGGGGTGTAGTTTGTAAGAATGCCACAGCAATGTCAGCAATGTTCACAAAGTTATCGACAGCATCATCGCTTTGATGAGCAGCTTAGCGGCTTCGTGGAGCCTTGCTTCGTAGAATCGTTTTTGCGTTTCACCCCTTTTTGCCTGAAAAGAGCGGTGGGTGCGACCAGCTTAGCAGGACGACGCCCAGCTTTTTCACTGAACCTCGGCGTTCGGCCGAAGCGCGGTGATGAAAACCAGCGTGGACGGCAGGGATGAGTCGTCAAGGCTTCTGCGAATCGAGTTGGGGAAGTGAGAAGTTGGTCTTGTGGTGTTAGTCGGTCTTTGCCCCCAGAATGAGCTACTTATTGTTACTTTACATGTTGCACGAGAAGGTCATGTGTAATGAATGAAGCGACCTCAAATGACCTGCTGGGCCAAAATTTCCTAGTGATGTCGTACAAAGATCAGACGTAGAACATTTCAGATGCCGGCTATCCAGATATTATGTGTACATTGACATACACTAGATGTTGTTTCAACATGAGGCGGTTCCAATCCGCTTCACATATCCCTTTTTTTACAACTCCCTTTGTGTGGTGTGACGTGCCCACATGGCTTCTCAAGTGCCGGCTAAACACCCAACCAAGGCGCTTCTACTGCTCCGAGCAAGATCGCCTGCACGACATGTTTGACGTGAGCTTCGCTCGTGCTGGAGGGATGAGCCAGGCGGGGCTCGGGGCGGGCTCGGGCTCGTCCGCCGTGGAGGCACGCTCAGAGCTCGTGGAGGCATCAATGAATAGGGGGAGGCATACATGCACCAACCTATGGGCAGGTTGATAAAAGCAAAACAACACATGGAGGTCATAATAGGTTGTATATCCAATGCGTTCATCAATTAGTTTGTACTAATTATCCCGAATCCCATGTATACCCATAGCATCCCATGCGATCATGATGTGTTGTTTCTATCAGTGTATACCATTTCCATATATATATATATGTTCTTTATGCTATATTTATATATATATACACAAGTATATATATATATATACAATATCCCCAAAGTGCCCATTTTGAGAGGACTTCGCAGGAAGTCTTGCTTTTTGGAGGCCCACGCTGGTTTCCATTCAGGTCCGTTCTGGCTAAAGATAGGCCTTCAATGGAGCGCAGGTTTTTCCAGTGTTTCAGGTCACGACTGATCACGATCCCGTCGACTCTTGTCGACTCTTGGCTCCGAACAGTCCTACCAAGTGATTGATATCGGCCGGGTTGGAGAGTCAACTGGGGATTTGAGCCCGTTCTGAGGGGTGTGCATTTCAATACATTTCAACTGCACTCGATACAAACAGCGGATGATCATTGTAGGTACTGTTTGTTTATGTTGTTTGGGATGCATGCTGCATGCAGTCACAACATGTTCCCATGTGCGCTGCACAACTGGTTGTGACGTGACATTTTTTCCTGACTCAACTGGTTGTTGCCCTGCTGTCCGCTCAACCAGAGGCTGTTCCACATCAGCCGATTTGCGAGGACTTCCCCATCAATCCGTACTGCACCTGAGCAGAAGGAGGTCTGGGAGTGAAGCACATGAGTCACCTGAGTCACCGGATCGAATTGAGACCCATCCAGGCCGGATCGAGTGGAGACGGCCTGATGTTAGGAAGAATGCGGTGCACAGTAGATGACGGGTGATGAAGGGTGAGTTAAGCTCCAGTTCCACCAAATCTTGGGCCAATCCAGGGTTTCAACCACAACTGACAGCCTTTCACGGTTGACACCATGATATTTATATATATATAAATATGTATTGGAATTCTTGTGCCTTTGACTCATGCAATTGGGGAGCCCAGCCTGGGCATTCTGGGGGTCCATCACACCTGTTCAGCTGCTGAAGCAACACAACATGTGTAATTACTTGTCATATGTATGTAATATACTTGTGTGGCACGTGTGGTGCACGCAGCACGGTTGGAGCTCCACTCCTGAGATATTGATACAAAGAGGCTTCAGGTATGCAAACCCCACGAACGATGCACAAAAGGTACCCTGAGCCGCTCCCAGGTCTGGAAGGAACGCCAGAGAGAGACTGGGCGTGACAGCATGCCTTGAGAAGGCCATGTTCAGGAATCAAGACGGTGATCAGGGATCCATCTAAACCTAAATAAGACTGTGATTCAGGATAATGATAATGTGTTTGAACATGTTCGTTGGTCACATGTGAAGCCAACGACGCTTTGTTGGAACACCACGGATGAGCTATCATTGGTCCTGAGTGTTGTGTGATTTAATCCTGGTCCGGACGGCTTAGGGTTGCTCCGTTTGTGCACGCGGTGCACAGTGATTGCTCAGTTGACTTTCTTGTGAGTCTTTTGGAGCTGCTGCGCTAAGATCTTCCTTGGCCCCGCCATTTGCATGCAAAGGGGTAGTTGGATGAAGAACTCATTCGAGTGTGACGGTGGGGTACCCTGAACTTCCACCCACTCATTGATTTAATCACCACAGCAACTTGGACAAGTCTTTTGCCCCCCTTGGCCTCACAAGTGATCCACTTGAGGATCTAGGACCTAGGAGTCCGTTGGTCAAGACGGGCGCCTTCGATCGCCGTTTGACGATCGTCAAACGATCGTCCCCAAGGACACCAGGAGCTCAGTTGGTGGGATTGTGATGGCTTCTGGCAGCACTGTGTGGACATCCCCACAGCTTTGGTCTCAAATGTGGGCAGCTTCTGAAAAAGAGCCGGGGAGGGTGCCAGACCGGCAGTGTGGCAATGTGCGGGGCACGGGGGACAGCAGCGCGGCTGGCGGCTCTTGGCAGAGGATAGCAACATTATGCAAGATTTAGACTAGCCCTGGTCTTGGTTTGGGAATTGGGACCTGCCCCATGATGGTCTAGCGGAAATTCTAGAAAACATGCAACACTGTTAACTACAATTGTTTGAGCTTTGCCGAAAGTTGTGAAACCACTGTGAAATCAGGAGGGTTGCCACACAGTTTTTAGGAGCGTATTTTCCTTTCCTATACAATATGTACCAATTGTGTTCGATCTTCAAATTTATTTAAGGGGTTGTTGAGAAGTGCAACTCGCTCCCTCATTGTCCCTATATATATATATACATACCTGATGGAGGAACAATGGAGAAATCGAAGCA